GTCACTCCACTCATCCGTCTTAGCATGCTTATTTACGCCACATGCATTCATTGTTGCTCTTTCTTTTTAACGACCCAACATTTAGTTTCATACATTATAGCTGGTCTTATGGTATGCCACACTGTTTCCTTTCTCCAACTAATTTTTTAATGAGTCACTCACCACAGAATCTCTCAAGGAACTTATTAATATGCTTTCTGAAAATTAATAAATACCATATGAACGTTTGTTTCTTTATTCCTGTATTTTTATATTCGGCCTTATAATTAAAATTGCTTTTGTTGTTGATCTGCCTTGCATAAAACCAATCTGACTATCGGATTCTTCAGTTTCTTCAGGTATCTGTCTATCAATTACTATCTCCTATATTTTGCTGACGTTACTAAGTAGTTTAATGACCCTGTAGTTTGTGCATTGTTGTATATCTTCCTTGTTTTTGTAAACATGTACTAATAAACTGTTTTTTTATTCGTCTGGATAAATTCGTCGAATTTATCCCCCGTCCATGATTCTATTATATAAACCTGTTGCTAACTTGGTCCAGTCTCTCCTAAAGCTGTCTACACTTCCCCAGGAGTATCATCTGGTTTACCTTTCTTTATGTTTTGAAGTGCTTGAACAACTTCCTCTTTTATTATTTTGCTGACTAGGCCATTGATCATTGGCTACCCACAAAACGCTAAGTAACGGAATCTTCCTATTCAAATATTTCTCTATAAAAAGGACTACATTTTCAATCATATTTCATTTTCCGCTGTGTAAGATTTAAGTGAAGTTCGACTTGCGTTCTTGAGATCCCTGTTAAAGGGTAAGGATGTTTTTTATACCTTTCGTATTTCTTTATATTTTTAGTTTTTGCTTCTTCTCAAATTTGTATTTCCTTCATATAATTAGGTTCCAAAGTTAGTCCCAGGCTATCCCATATTTAAGGCGACATTTATTGGAAATTCCAAAGTGAATTCCAAAATAGTCCCAGTTAGTTCCGGGCTCTCTCTGATTCAGGAAATCCATAGTTAGTCTCAAGTTATAGTCATAGTTAGTCAATACAAGCTTATTTCAAGTTGGGAATCCAAGTATATATTAGGTGATCCTATTGGAAGTCCCGAGTTGATCCAAGTATAAGTCCCAATCTATCGGAGGTATTACCCTGATTGGCAATTACAGTTCCCCTCATCTAAGTAGCTCCCGTGTATTATAAAATTTGACTGCACCGAAGGTCAACATCCAGTTGATCTGCTTTACAGCTCATAAGTTATTATGAGTAGGGAAGAGTTTTTAACATATTTCTTTTTATTGTTTGTATCTATTCTTTCTTGTAGTTCTCACCTCTATGAACGACTCCGCCCATAATGTACTAGAACTGAGCATCGGTGCTTTCGAGCCTATTGTGTACCAGTGTTCTAAACTGAATTCTTCATAATCTAGATCACTAGGTATGGTACACTTCAATCTATTGGATCGTTATTGGCTTGTTTTACCAATTCAGACGGCACCTTTCATATTGATGGAGTTGGAAAACCACTGTTATATTTCTCAGTAGCAGTAATGTCTTGGACAAAATCAATTGAATGAAATTCTAAATTAAAATTAAATAAAATCAATCAAAAGTTAAAAAACACAAAGATTTTTTGCGTTATATAAAAAAATTATTAACGAAAGTTCAAAATATAAAATTTTGTAGTTCAATTGTAATTTGTAACAAAACGTTTATGCGCTTTTTTTATAAAATGTATTAAGTATTTTTTGCCATTTTAATTTAAAGCTCGTGAGTTCGAATTTCACCTGGGTGGAGAAATTTTCGTTTATTAAAAATTAATAAATGAAAATAATTTCTATCCTTGTGCGATCGGTACTCACCGGAGGGACCGCAGACGTTCGGATATAATTAGCGTGTCTTAGCAAAGACAATGACGTCGACTTTGCTAAGTATCAAGACAATTACTCTACACCTACAAACACACTACACTAGGTACCTGACTGTAAAAATTCACTATACCATGCCAATGACCATTAGTTGTCGACGCATTAAACTCAATAAAAAAAAATTAAAGCGTCCACGTAAATAGTATATAGTAATTTTGAATTTTAGTTTTTTACAGCTAAATACATAATACTTACCCTATTTGTGACTATTTAATGTGAAAAAGTACCTTGATTTGGTAAAAAACGAAAATGGCGTTTTTTGCCATAAAAGTATTGACATACACTGCTCTCCAACATTAACTCATAATTTTAAAATTCTTATTTTGAATTGTAATGAAAACATTTTTGTTTGTTCTTTTCTGCTTTATGGTTGTTTTAGAACATCTTAAATAAAAAACTTTTCTTTTTTTATAAACAATGTATTGAAATTAACAATATAACATCAAAAATCTAAACATCTAAACAAACAACTGATCTAAACAAATTAACATTATAAATACTAGTCCCCCGTGTACTAGTATCGAGTATTGCCTCCTCTGGCAGTTATTACTGCTTGACAACAATCTCTCATACTCTCAGAATAATCGTTCTGATTTCTTATTGATCAATTTGATCCCAAATGTCGACCAACCGCAAAAACAGTTCATCTAATGTGTTTGGTGCATTATGTAGTTGTCGTAGTCGTCAGCCTATGATTTCCCAAACATGTTCTATTGGGTTGAGGTGAGGACTTCTTACAGGCCAATCCATGGCAGGAATTCCAACGTCCTGACGATACTGCTGCACAATTCTTGCCGTGTGTGGCCTGGCATTATCTTGCATAGGCATGAAATTATCCCCAATAAATGGTGCTCTTCTAAAATGTCTGTTATATACCTCTGCGATGTAAGCCGACCGCGATCATCGCACATCACATCCCACACCATTACCGAGCCGCTGACATACTGTACAGTCCCTACGGCGTTACACTGTGCGTAGCGTTCCCCAGGCCTTCCGTACACTCGGTTTCTCCTGTCATCAGAAAAAAGACAGTACCTGGATTCATTGGTAAGCAATATTCTTCCCCAATCATCATTATTCCAATCAGCATGTTCACGCGTAAAATGCAATCTTTTCCTTCTATGGTCTCTGGTCAACAATGGGCCTTGAACGGATCTTCTCGAGTTACTTCCAGTAACAGAAAAACGTGTTAACACACGTGAAATGGTTGACTGGGTGACGTTAAAACGTTCAGCGAGTTCTACTTGAGTGTATCCTTCGAGTAACGATTCTAAAACAGTCACTTTCTGACAAATTTCGATTTTCTTGCTGCTGGTGGTTCATTTCAAAGAAAAAACACTTAATAAACTTGAAAAACCCCTTTAAACGTTCAGCACAACGTAATCCAATTCAACTAAATTCGAAATAAAATGAAGCACAATTAGCATGTTTTTATTTTTTTTTTTGCAAAAAATGGTAAAAACATCAGCGTTTTTTACCGTTCTTTCGTTAAATACCGGGGGATAAATAAAATATACCGGGGGTAACAATAATATATTAGCGCAAAAATCGAAAGGTTAAAATTATTTGATTTACCAGGGTTTTAATAATTATGCGTTAATTTTGGAGTGCGGTGTATTATACCGTCAGATTTTGTTACTAGACCAGGCTGTGGGTAAAAAGCGTGCATTAATTAGTAAATTTTTGAATTCTACCCTATGATGTAAAGATCGATGTCAAAAACAAATTATTTGTTTTTTTTTATGAGACTTCGAAGGGGTAGGGAAAAAATATAGACTTTGGGATGCAAAAAAGTTTGCCACTCCTACCCCCGGGCTTCCCCCTAAAACCCGCCTCGTAGTGGTTTAAATAAGAAACAAGGATTTAAGAAGAATATGTACGCCGTAGAAAAAAATAGATAACATGCTAGTAATATATGAATGTATCATATAACACTCTCCCAGACGTGTTCTGTTTTTGATTACCTCCAGTATTAAAAAAAAAGAATTTTAAAAGTAAGAAAATACTATTAATTAAAAAAAGCATAATTATTTGCTTTAGAAATAGATCCCTATAAGTTATTTTTCTCATGCTATTTATTGTAAATCAAACAACAAAATGTATTGAAGACAAACATGTATTCAATTGAATATTTCTAGGTGTAAATCTAAAAAGATACCTAGTGCACTGACCTACTGAATAAATTAAAAAGTAATTTTAGTAATAATAATTACTTGATTATTCATAATTTTTATTTTGACTGCTGATGTACATGCAATGCAATATACAACAATTAATGGGTGTTTAGATGATGTCGCTATTTTATTAAGCTTGTGTAAATATGCAAAGGTATTTAAATTTATTCATTAGTCAGTGCAATAAATTAACATTTAGAATAAAGTACTCTAAACGCATATAAAGTGCATTCGCTAATCATAATTCATAATTGTATCTGTTTTCCTTAACTGTAAATACTATTCTAGTTTCTGGAAAACCATTATCCAGTATCTAGTTATAAATTGTTCTGGGTGTACGGAGTAATGAAATTATACGTTCTGCTAATTTTGTCACGCAATGCTATGTGTCGAGAAATAACAATAGTTTTTCTAAATTATAGAACACAGTAGTAATAGATCAACTATTTTGCCAGTATTGTCTGTTATTCTGGTAGTTTTATTGTAATAATTATTTTGAAATTGTTGTGGCAATGAAGTATTTTCATAAAATGAATCGAAAAAGTTAAACTAGTATGCGGCGCAGTCATTGGGATAGTGGACGAGTCATTTTAGAGACACTAAATAGCTTCAAATTACTATCCTGTAGAATACACTATAAGTACACTACTCGTAAAATTACATTTTATTTCCCAGTTCAAGTTTATAGAAATAAACAGCAGCTGACCTAAATAATTCAGAATGACTAAATTCTCTTTTTTTTTGTGAAATTATATTATTCTTAAAACTGACATATGCAGTTTTTGTATTTTCAGTCTGATTGTGACGAAAAAATAAGTCTATATTTTTTTATGTTTCTATATTTTCTAAGTCTATATTTTTTTAAGTCTATATTTTTTATAATGTTTACCTTTTTAATTTCAGGTTGTTAGCAACACTGATACAGTTGTACTTAATGCATTAGACTTAAAATTAAACGAGGTTACTTTAAAAGGAGATAAATCTTTAAAACCTGGTCAAGTAGAATTATGTGCGGAAGAAGAAATTGCGACGTTAAAATTTCCCTCTTTAGTGACCCCAGGCTCCTACATTTTAGATATAGCATTTACAGGTGAAATTAATGACAAAATGAAAGGGCTGTACAGGTAAGTCTGCAATATTATTTATAATACTAATGTTATTACAAATTAGCAATTCCTAAGCCTCAAATAAAGGTTGATGAATTTAAGTTCTCAAAATTTACATAAAATCTGAGCAAGAAACACTTAAAAAATTGTCAAACTAGCATCTAACCATTGGAAACGATAAAAAGGATTCCAATAGTGGTAAATGCAGCTCTTCTTTGATTTCAGTTTGTTACTGTCTTTCTGGGAGTACTTTTCTCCTACTGAACTTAGATTTTTCTACTGTTTATAAATTCAGATGACCCTCTAAAAAGTGGCTCTGCTGCAAGGAGCATTAAATTATTAGTCACACCGGATTGTCATTTCTAATAAGGAGTTCCAGATATAAGACATTAAACTTTCTTGTCAACAATATGATAGAAGGTGTAGAAACGACCTGTACAAGTCTGCCTGAGGGTTATGAGTGCGATGACTGCGTGGATTGATACTAGCTCAGAAGCCGCATTCATGCCCACAGCCGGTCCAAAACCCGGATAAAAGAGGAGGACATTTGTGCAATCCAAGAAACCAAGACGAAAGGTAAAGGCCAAAGAGACTATAACCAATATTTTCTAGCATACAGTGGAGTGAAGAAAGAAGAACGAACACGAGCAGGCCTAGTTATACTTGTCCATAAAAAATTTAAAGACAACATAAATAACTGCCGTTATATCTCCGAAAGATGAACATCACAATTGACTACCAAAAATTAAATGTCATGCCCATCTATAGCCCCGAGAACTGTAAATCTAAGGAGGAACGAGAGGCATTCTACGAACAATTGCAAACCATCCTGGATGAACTGCCTCATGAAGAGCTCTTAATTCTTATGGGTGACTTTAATGCACGAAGCAGAAATGAAATAGTTCCAGGAGTAAAACAAAGATTTAATGAAAACCACGTTAACGCAAATGGAGAACTCAAGAGAAATAATACAAGCTTTACGTAAAAGTCATGGCTACAGAAAAATTAACACACATCTTCAATACAACAGTCAAGAAATAAAATATGGTAATATAAGCAGAAAAAAACAAATGTATGACAATATCTAAATACCCACCACGATGTAAAATCGAAATTGATAGGAAAATAATGAAGCAGGAAGCAAGGTTTATATATCTGGAAATAGATATAACTAGTTACGGAGATGTTGAAGAAGAAGTACGACAACAAAGCTTAAAAGCAAGTAAAGCGGCGAAATCTCTGAATGACACAAACTGGAAGAACTAACATCTAAGACAAGACACAAAAAGAAGAATCTATAAAGCAGCAATTAGATCTTTTTTTCTCTTCTTCACCGAAAAGTCTGCTGGATAGGGAGAGAAGCGAAATCATAAGAAGAGCCTGCAATGTAGAAGAGATAAATGGATGGGTAACAAAACGGAAACATGAGTGGAACGAACAGATTAGTAGAATGGCAGAGGATAGAATAGTACGAATTGCATGAAATAAGTCACCAAATGGACGGAGAAGTATTGGCAGACCAAGAAAAAGATGGTGCGACAATTTAAACTATCTAGGAGGCTAATATTGAAGAAAAAATAGGCTTTAAAGCCTATATATAATAAGAAAGAAGAAGAAGTGTAGAAACCAGAGGTGAAAAATGATTCGAAGATAATGTACATATTGGTGTCATATCGGATATGAAGGAGAATAAATCAATTTCACGCACCTAGCAGACAATGTCTGAATACGCAGAGATATAGTGACAATAGTAAAGATAATAAGATCAGAAAATGACACCAAAGCACATGTGGCACTAGAAACATGTAAGGTATTATTCTCATATTTTTGTGTACACCATAGGAATATTAGAAAAACATCTCAATATAATCAACAACAATAAATGGAAACATAATAGTTCTGACCTACCATGTTTATTTGAACGAATTTAAAGAAAAGCCTCGTCTCAGTCAAACCCAAGGATCGGTAGAAAGGGTCAATCAGGGCATACAGAATATGTTAACTGCGTGGACGCAAGATAATGATTCAAATGACTGATCAAAAGATTTTCCGTATATTTAATTCGCCAAAAACATAACTTATCACGAAGGAATACGCCAGAGTCCATATGAAGCCGTGTTTAGCGTTAAACCAAAAAGAATCCTAGCGTTGTCATCTCTCCTTTACGGTGAAATTGGCAATATTGAAACTGAGGAACAGCTATTTGAATACTTAAGAAAATTTTATTGGAACAGATCCGCAAACTAGTACGCATATATTTCAAGCACCGACTGATTCGAACACTTCTACATCTCAAGAAAAAGCCATTCCGCAGCCCATTACTTCTTCGTCCCAAGTACTAAGCATCTTTTCACACGTAATCAGTTCGCAATTTGTAAAAGAAAATTAGTTTCCATAGATGCGATTACAATGATGAAATTATGCTAAGATAAGCAGCTTGAGCTAATCCGAAAAGTGGAGGACAAGGCTCTACACGTTGTAACTACAAAAACAAGTATTCTACGCCTAGATTTACTTGTAAAGAAAAGGGGCTTTCGTGCAATTCAAAGTATCATGGTAGTTTCAGTTGTTTATTTAAAAATTTAAAAAATGTTTCTCTGTTATGTTGATAATATTTTAGTTATCAATCAATATTTGGGCTGTTTGTTTTAATTACAGCAATATTCTTATGCTTATTAAAACTATTTTCCCAAAATAAAAAACATGCTAATTATTAAACTAATAACTAAATAACTAAATTAAACTAATTATTTATTTTCAATTGATAAAAAAATATATGTTTTTAACATACACCGAAAATGTATAATGAATGTCGACATTCACCAGTGAATGTTAGAAAATATGATATTTAAATAATAATTCGAACATCCTCCAAGCGACTTGGTGAATATTGACATTCACTGGTGTATCCCGACATTTATTGGATTTCGGGCTTTCACAATAACATATATATAAAACCCTGAACATACGTCGACAGCACTACATTTCAAATATCCCTAGGCGTTTTATGGCATCTTCTGTGAGACTCTGACTATACAGAGCTTTTACTCCGCATAGGAGGGCACTGAAGACGTAACATCTAAGAATTTTTATGCGTTTATTGATACTTAGAAGATAAGCTGTAGTAAATCGTCCTAAGACCGTCAAAAGAGCTTTTGGCTTTTTCAAAACAAGTTTTTATTTCGTAGCTATGATCCCTGGTGTCGTGAATATTGCGGCGCAGGAAGCATAACTATCTTCTCCACTCTATCTAATGGTGTATCGTTTATTGTAATTTGAGCGTCGTTGGTGTTCTTACTAATGATCATTATTTTCTTCTTCTCACAATTTAGTTTTAGGCCGTTTATGTTTCTACAACATTATCCATCATTATTTGTAGCCCCTGAGCGCTATCTGTTAGCAATATGGTATCGTCTGCGTATCTAATATTGTTTATAAGTTGGCCATTTACTGCAATACTATCTTTTGATTCGTCCAGGGCTTCTCTAAAGATGTTTTCAGAGTATATGTTAAATAATGCTGTCAGTATGCAACCCTGTAGAACTCCATTTCCGGCTGCGTTCTCGGACAGTTCATTTTCGAATCGCACTGTTGTTTGTTGTTAGTAATATAAATTTGAAATTGGTCTTATATCCTTACCATTCTTCATAAAAAAAGTAAAGTTTGTGTAACCTTCTGGCTAAGGTCTAGTGTTAGGGTTTTCAGGTCGCCCAAGGGCCCCTTAACATTACAACGTCTATTTTCTTAGCCGAGACCGACGGCTTTACGTGCCCTCCGAATCACGATGGCAGCTCAGTTAAATTATAAATTGAAAATTTTGTCGGTGACGGGATTCGAACCCGGGCCCTCCAGCTTGTTAAGCCAGTAACATGCCGCTAAGCTACGGCTGCCACAATTCTCGATATTTTTACCATAACGGTTAGGTTCCCATGTGGTACTTTGTCAAATGCCTTCTCGAAATCGATGAAACCCACAAACACATCGCAATTGACGTCCCTGGCGTATTAGAACTTGCAAATTGAAAAGTGCTTTAGAGAACGATAAAGATGAATCGTCCAAATTCATTTCATCTATATATTAGGCCACGTATTTATAGAATAATGCCTGTAGCTTAACTTGCTAATTAAATTTAATCATTCTTAATACAAAACACACATTCAACACAAAATTCTTATTTATATTTTTGATATGTATTTTTAGAAGTAAATATGTAAACCAAAAAGGAGAAGAAACATACGCAGCGGTAACCCAATTCGAATCGACAGATGCTCGTCGTTGTTTCCCATGTTGGGACGAGCCTGCGCATAAAGCCACATTTGACATAAGCCTTACTGTACCTAAGAACTTAGTTGCCTTATCAAATATGCCAGTCAAAAACAGTCAACCTGAAGGTGATCTCATTAAGTAAGTATTAAAATTCTAGTAAAAGTCCTACAACAGAAACTAAACAATTACTGTAAAACTGTTATATTTATAGAATTTACTATGGTAAACTTAAGAATAACTTCAATTTTTTTTCTTTGCCATTGGAACTTTGTAGCACGTTTTTTCAAAGTTCCACTAGTATATCTAGGTGTCAAACCTAGACACCACTATTAATAATGTATTATGAGTTATATGAATACCACATGATGTTTTGTAAAACGTATTCGTTTTTTTTTACTCTAGTAACTCTATTTGTTTGAAATTTTTTATACTTAGATCAATATTTTAGTCGGTATTGCAATAAATTAATATAGTTGGACCAAGTTTTTTATCACTAAACAAATAATTTGCTATGTTGTTGTGTTCCACTTCGAGGCTATGGTTCTTTTTGTGTTATAAACCTCTAAGTGACTTTATTCTATAAATTAATATAAAAATTACATAAAAGGCAACATCTCCAATATCTTCAACCCAGCTGAAACATACGTTTTCTCGAAGTAGGCCTCCGTGGCGGCAATATGCTCATTTGACTTAAATTTCTGCCTGGAGAGTGAATTTTTCAGGTTTGGAATCAAAGAGAACTCGTACGGGACCAAATGTGGCGAATACGTTGGATGGGGCTGCAATTCTTAGCCTAGTTTGACCATGGTGATGGCGGAGGTGTGAGTTGCGACGTTGTCCTTTGTGGAAAAGCACTTTTTTCTTCACTAAATGCAGCCGATTTGTGTGCAATTCGGCGTCGAATTTTGATCCCCAGATCCATATAACCCTGTAACCGTTTTGCCTTTCTCCGAGTAATCGATGTAGATTATGCCTTGTGAATTCCAGAAAACGGTGGCCATCAGGGCCATCAAGCCACACTCCTTCGGATTGCACTTAAACAGCTTTAAACACTGCCTCTGAGGTAGTCTCACCATTGGCACTTGTTCAGTGAGTAGACGCTCGTACCGACAGTTTTCTCCTGCCCTAATTTTAATTCAGGATTTGACCGACGTGGTCTTTCGAGATACCCACTTTCTCAACCATCTCGTCCCGCATCGGCGGTCTACCAATACGAGATCGTTGATTTTTTCACGATATCCTTTGTGATAGCCTTTTCACGTTCATTGCGATCACGTTGAAATTCGTTAAGGCTAAATTACACAGCGCGAGTCTACAAGCTACTCACCGGCCTTTTCACACGCAGCTCGTAAACTCGTCCATTCTACGCGATGCACTCGATTCGTTAGCTGCTTTTAAAAACACTCAGAAAAAAGTTGAACTGCCGGCGACTTTACGTGCTACTCTACGACTTTTGAGCGAGCTATCGTGCAAACTAACGATGTGTACTCACGGTAGCTCAAATGATTAAAAACGAATTAATAGGCGACAAAATGTGAAACGAAAAGTACATAAGAGAAACGTTCGGGTGAAACCGTGGATATGACGACGTACTGCTGAAGAAACGTACTGCTGAAAGCTGAAGAACAAAGATCCTGCGGTTTGTAGAAATACTTTAAGAATTGCAGGTAAACAGTTTGATGAACTATTGGGAATGATAGGCAAAATGTTGTTAAAATAGGAGACGACAATGAAGATTTGTTGCTGTAGTCTGTATCTTTAATATGTGGGAAATTTATGTGTGGACAATGTAGGGAAACTAGAACTAATCTAGCAAATTTTTACAATACCCACTTTTTAAAGTATCGTGCGTATTTACTTTAATAAATTCGTATGTTATGTCAAACACATTCAGTTTATAGACTGAAAAAGTTTTTTGAATTTTGCTGAATTATAAGTCCTTATAACTTAAAAAAATCAGCATTAATGAAGATCTGCGAATCACGCACACCTTATTTTATAGCGGCAGATGTTTTCCACACTACAGCTGGTTTAGTTCATGAATCGAAGGTTTTCACCTCGAAATTTTTTCGCAAAAGATCGATTTACTTGAAAATGTGATAATAATTTAATAATAATTAATTCGAAGCAAACATTTTTTTATACACTTTTTTGATAAAATTAATATTTTTCGATTCTCTATCGAAAGTGTTAGTTTTAGCTTAAAAAAATCAATGTTTTTAATCAGTTTTCTGCTAATAACTCAAAAATTATTCGTTTTATTAAAAAAAACTATTATGTATTAATAAAATTTAACTTTTGAAAAGAGTAACAAAATGGTTTTTTAAATTATCTTTACTAAGTTAAAATTAACCGAGCTATACTTTATTATAGGTTAGCGCTTCTTCGTTGAATGCTAAATTTTTGAGTTTTAAAGCCAAATGACGGAAAAACTATGCATTTTTTGAGGATAACTTATCGAAACTGATTTAAATTATTTAAAAAGACTTACCTTTTCTATTAAAAAAAGTCTTTAGCATAAAAATTGAGTGATTTATCATGAAATGAAAGTTGGTCCCTATTTGAAACTCTAATGAAACAATCCTCTAATTATTACCCTAATTAAAATAAGTCATTGGCCATGTTAAATCTTCTTTATTTGTGTATTATTAATACATTTAGAAGTTTGACCTACTTAGAATGATCACTTTCAATAAAATGGAGTTAAAAGCCAATAACGAATTTTTGTAGTTTGATAAAAAATGCCCTTTTCCTTAAAACAGAAAGATTAGCATTAGAGATACGAAAAAAAATGTTTATATATGAAATTGAACTTGGTTTACAAAATTTTTTGTACGGCAAAAATTAAGTGAGATATTGGCAATTAAAACGTACGAACATGCAAAAACTACCCTTACCAACCCTTTCAAAGTCACTCCTTTTTGAAACTGAGGGTTTAAAAAGGATTTAATATTAAAAACCTTGTAGCTCTTGTAAAAACCTACAAAATGCTTTTTTACAGGTACAGATAACTTTCTAAGTTAAAAAATAAAGTTATGGTTAAAAAAAACAATAATTTTTTTTGGAAAAAAATGTAGAAATCCATTTGTAAGCATAATAATGTAAGTTAGTGGTGTTGTGCACAATTTGTGTAAAGTTGTTGTAGCTATTTACTAAGAGAAAGCTTGGACGACTGGTTTCGCTGTTTAAAAGTTATACAGCATCATCAGTCCCTCAAGAAACTAAAGGATATCAGTATGTACCGGTCGCCCAATATTTCTCTTAATATATATCTACAAAATAACACGGATTGTGAGTATAAGAGCTTTTTCCGTAACATTCATGAATATACTATTTTTTTTTTCTAAAAAACTACTAAATGAATTTTCAATTCTACAAAAAGCTTTATAATCTTTAAAACTAAACGTACAAGTAACCATATTTTGACTAGGATAAGTGGTTAACATTTAGTCAGTTTATGCTCTGCTTATATGGGTAAACCGCTCGCCTATAGATGTTGAAGTTGAAGGTGAGTTGCACTTAATCCCAAATTTTTATACAAATCGGTCTTTTCTCCTAGAGAAAATCGTTTGTTTCCTGGAGTATTTGGCTCCTCAGCAAGTAGAAAATTTTTGTGTGTACTCAACGACTAGCGAACTCCCCGACACGTCGGCTTTTTTCAAACCTGCTTGTTAGCTTGTAAATTCGCCCCGTGTACTTGAGCCTTTAACCAATTTTTGACAATCAATATCGCGGGTAAAGAGTCACCGTACACAGCACCCAATCGCTCTTTCATTTCGCTGCATAATTACCCTTCTAAAAACACGAATCGAAACACCGACCGGTATATTTCTTTTTCTATTTTGACAGTAGCGCCATCGGACGGTAAGGCTAATTAATTATCAGACCGGTCTCGTTCGAGGTAGAAGCTTTTATGGTAAATTAAAGGGCCAATATTTTTACCATTTCTTCGGTGGGTTGTTAAATGTGTAAGCCTCTTTATATTTCTTTTTGCCAATAACAGTACATAATATGTTTATTATCCTACGAGAAAACTGAACTGAATTAATTTGTTCAACTTCTGCACGGTGATACGAATGTTGTTATCATCAAAATGATTTTTTCCTGAAATACCACAATTGATTTTATATAATCACAGTTGAATACCATCGATAATTTTCAATCGCGTGCAACTATTGATTACCGGTACATAAATATTTAATTGCAATATAAAATATAGTTATATAATGAAGTAATTTAACTATAATGAAATTTTCAGATACGACTTCGAAAAAACCCCCATTATGTCAACGTACTTAGTAGCAGCCGTTATTGGAGAATACGATTATGTTGAAGACAAGTCTAGTGACGGTGTACTCGTTAGAGTGTATACTCCAAAAGGAAAAAAAGAACAAGGACTGTTCGCTCTTGAAGTAGCCACCAAAGTATTGCCTTATTACAAAGAGTATTTTAATATTGCTTATCCACTACCTAAGATTGATTTGATCGCTATTGCGGACTTCAGCGCTGGTGCTATGGAAAATTGGGGCCTTGTGACTTACAGGTAAGTAATTTAACTCTGCTTAAAATGAATCAAAATTATAATCTTATTCTTACTTTAATAAAATTTAGTATGCTTATTTGCCAAAATTAATAAATTATTAGAATTGCAGCCAGTTTAGGTTTTCGTTTTTTATTCTTTTTTTTTTTTTTAAAATTTGGTAATTAGCTAAAATTTGAACTTTTAAGTTTAGTCGTTTTTTAAGTCGTTTACATTGCCTAGAGTACGATGACATGTAAATTTCTATCAACTGAGCGAGGGTAGGGAGCCGATATGTGGTCTAAGAGAAGCTGGAATTTCTTCAGAGCGTCAAAATAGTCACCGGTGGATGGCTCTAAGATACCTTTTCTCCACTATTAGGCCTATATTAAAAAAATGGTTGTAGACCATGTAAGACCAATTGAGTTTTTGGGAAATTCGCAGTTTTGCCATTTCTTTTATTTAGGCCACACTTGGTGTTACCTCTTATCCCTAAATATCGACGTAATGGTGTTGAAAGGATACAGAACGATTGGCTAGGGACCAGGAATGAAATGAGGTTATCTTATGTATTGAATCCCGATTCTGTTTAGTGATTCCTGATGGACGAGCCAGGGTCAGATAACGACGTGGTGAAAGGCAAAATCCACAATCGAACGTCACGTGCACCGCACTGTTAGGGCTATGGTGTGGGGTGCCATCGCTTATGGTACAAGATCATTTCTAATCTTCGTCAGAGGAAACACGTTATTTCAGAGATACGTCGAAAAAACGTTTGAACATCCAATTTTTCAACAATATAACGCAAGAGTCACCATGGACTTGTTTGAACAGGTTGCAGTAAAATTTTTACTCTGGTCGCCGAGATCTCCAGATTTATCCCCAATTGAAAATGTGTGGGACATGATGGGTCGCAGACTTCTTTAGAATATCCTTCTTAGATTTAAGCAGCACTTCGGGAAGAGTTAATTAGGACATCGAATGAGATACGACAGAGGATATTGACCACATCATCAGAAGCGAGTCCTGGCTCATCCGAGAGTGTGCATCAACACTCCCTATGCAGTTACCCCTATAAATTGTTTCAATCATATTGAAATTTTGATCATTTGTTTATTTTGCTCGCCTCTGTTTAATTGTACAAAATATTTTCACATTATAGTAATTTATAGGGGGTGTTCGGATTTCTATTTCACTTAGTATATAAAATGTGAGATATACCAGTTAAATATATTCCGCTAGAAACAGGAGTCTATTTCGGTTTTTTAGCATCTTGAGCTCTATCTATGTTGGTCAAGATCAATAAATGAACTATCCCGAACCATGAGCCCTTATCTCTGACCGTAATACCAATTGGCCTACTTAATACATTCATGACCATCAATCAAAGGTACGTAAGATTTTAACTAATACGTTTAATATTTAAATTTCTTACTTAAATTAGGGCTTAAACCATCAACCTCATAATATACACCGCTATACGTCTCCCTTTCTGCTATGTTTGAGCCATCAAACCGACTTGTGGAACAGTTCTCTTTCCGTAGGTGGTAGGTGAGAAATCGAAAAATCTGAGATTTGTTTAATACATGCTCTTCTTTTTAATAGGAATATGTATGTTAAATCTTTGGTAAGTTCTAAACTGTCATGCCAGCGTTTTTTAGGTCCTCCAATTCTACTTTAACCTATTGGCGTTTTATTTCGAGATATTCTTTGTTTTGTCTTTTTTTCCTACCTTATAAAGTTTTGCCGACTATCCTTCTTAGTATTTTCATCTCTGTTGGCGTATGCGTGTTTCATGGTGGGACGTATTAACATGAATTACTATTTCTGCTGCTTCAGTCCTAACACGTTTTTCACACTACCTTTTTTTATAAGCTACTGATCCCGTTTCATGAAATATTGTAACGGGTTTTAATACGTATGAGTGATGAAGTTGCTTATCTTGATAAAGTTAATTAAATAATTTCGCTGTTCTTTTTGCACACTTTCTATTTTAAAAAAAAATATGAAAATAAATTTAACACATTCTGCGATATAATACACTATTTCGAATGAATTTAAAAAATACTTATTTAATATCACTGCTGAACGCTAATATAACAGTTAAAATAACTAACTTTTTTGCAAATTTCTTTTAATTTCGTTTTTGACGTGACGGAAACAATGTGTCATTAAATTAAATTGATACTTTTTTACAAAAACATGAAAAATCATGGGTGCCTGAATTCCCCAGAAAAATACTTGTCTAATGATGGCTACAAATGTTCTATTCCCTATTTTAAATTAAAGGTTTGTGGTACTGGAAGAAAGGGGTTGACAAATGACAGATGTCTTTGTCGTTAAAAGATGACTCCTAGATTTATGGATACTTCTTCAAGCACCATCGAGCAACCGAGTAAGGCAATAGATCTGTAGCTCTAAGGTAGACTGAAGGCTAGTGTGGGAAGGCTGAGAAGAATTCGATAGACTACACTAGAAGGGCTGAAGTGCTGCAGAAAACAAGCAGGAATTAGCTTAGAGTGATAACAAGAAAAAAAAAATCGTGGCTTCGTAATCTACGTGAATGGTTCGGGTGTAGTTCGATTGAACTTTTTAGGCGCGCTGCTAACAAAGTCGCAGTGGCCATGATGATTTCCAATCTCCCCTAGGAGTGGCACGAGAAGAAGAAGAAGATAACATGTTTCCTTACTGGACATGCGCCACTTAAGAGACACCTTCATACAATGGGGCTGTTTTAACAATGAAACAGGCGGCAAACACGTTGGGGATACAATCAAGTGATTTCAAAAACTACCAATTGGTATGCTACCAATCGACGAGACCCGTTGAAGCTGGTACATGGTTCCAAAATTTTGGAATAGATATTATAAATGTAAGATGTTCAATAAACCAATTGGCCGTAGTAGTACTACCTGTTTATAATAAAAAACTACTTAGGCGAAAAATACATGGTCATGAATAACTTTTTTAGGTCCGAGCCCAAGAGCTGTGAATATAAAATTCATAAAACACATATAAGAGACAGACAAAATCGCCGTCTTAATAGAAACATCTTTTCTTGTTAAATAAAACATTGCGTAACCATTTTTAATTACACTCTATTAGTAGTAAAATTAATACCGTTGAGTTTATTAACTACTTTATTAATCTTTTGATTAATAACTCTCTTAGCAACCACTCAAAAATATGAATCGCATTGCTCCGTATCGGAATTTTTTCGATGCTATAATATCTTTAATTGTAGTAATTAATATTTGAAATGTCATGTATTATTATTGTTGTAACAGTTAAATTACATAAGGAGTTCATTAAAATGACTCCAAACTGATTTTTCACGGGATATTTGCAACAATATAACTGTTTTTTAATTATAGTTAATTACTAAATCATAGATTGTGATGCATTCTTATTGCATAATAGGTTTTATACAAAGTAGTAGTATTTGAACACAGGTTTTGATGATATAAAGTATATACATACGTACTTAACGCCATATCTTGTAAATAGAGTATTTCATAAGAATTTCATAAAATTTATTGGATTATTTATATTTGGAAGTTATATTTCGATTTATATTTCGACTTACATATCGAATAAATATAAAGTCAGGATTATTTATGTTTAATTCAAGTCAGAACTCAACTCGTGGATTGGCTCACTAACGCTTTACTTGAAGTAAAAAACACAGCTCAGGAGTTGGAATTGAATTAAATTAATGGAAGAAAGACAAAAAAGCAACATGCACAATAATATGCACAGATATAGATCCATCAATAACCAAATTAGGAGAAAGATCACAGAATTAAATGAAAGAGAACTCAAAAATTAATGCAGAATCGATATATCTCAAAGAAAACACGACTCATTTGGTGTTTACAAAAAGGTCAAGGAAATAACAGGAAAATTCAAGAAGAAATCAAAAATTATCAAGGAGAAAGAATTGTTCTCAGATCTCAAAGCAGAACAACAAATAGTGACAGGACAACGTGTTAAAACTCTTGAAATGGTTTACTGAGTGACATTAGAAAGTTCAGCGAGTTAAACTTGAAAATATCCTTCTTCGCCAAGAATAACGATTCTAATGCAGTCAGATTCTCACAAATTTCGATTTTCATGCTGCTGGTGGTTTATTTTAAGGAAACACTAAATAAACTTGAAAAACTCCTTTGAAGATATAACAAAACGTATTCAAACCAAAATAACTTGGAACTAAAATGATAATCGGACGCAGGGTACATTTTTGTATGCATGGAGGTGTGTATAGTTGAAAACTGTTCTATTATGTAAAATTTTTCGCTGAATACGAATATGCAGGTCTCAACAACAATTTGTTGTTTAAATAAATTTTAAAATTTGAATATGTTAATTTACACTAGTCCCATCGTAAAGTACGGCTAGAAATACATTAAAAATTATTACATTAGTATATATTATGTATAAAAAAATTATAGTTTAAAAGTTATTAAAATTTTTAAGTAGAGAAATCGCAGATTTAGTCTAAATTTTAGTACCCATGACTTTTTACATGGTGCATATTTCTCTAAAAGCTCCACATAAATAGAAAGTTTGAACCTATTTTGGCAATTTATTATTGAAAAAACTGGAAGAAACTTTCTTTATCATTGAGTTAACAAGCAATAAATATATAGCCTTTCGCCCTTGCAGAATTACAAGCATACAGCGGGATAGTACGTGTTGACATTAAGTGTGCTAAATAGCTGTTATTTTAAAATTTCAATAACTGCTCGATGCTGGCATAATTTCGACAACTTACTAGCCCACCGTGAGGTTTTTTTTATTCTGCAAGGGCGGTAAAAAGAAAGTTTTAAAGTTTTTCTTTTTTTAATAGTAAATTATCAAAATAGGTTCAAAATTCATACGTATGTGCAGCTCTAGAGAAATATACACCATGTTAAAAGCTATGAGGACTAAAAGTTACGCTAATTCTTCGATTTCTAGTCTTAAAATTTTCTAATAACTTTTAAACAAAAAACGTTTTATATATCATAATTAATATATCATTT